TTATCATTTTAATATGCAGTTTGAAGTTTGCTCACATGGAATCGAATGTCTATTATTGCAACAATTTGGGTTTAAAAATGTTATTTTGTGTGCATATCCAGAAGAAAAAGGTAGCTAAAAGCTTTATGATTTTAAATACTGATTTGAGATATATACACTTTTAATTTTGATGTTTTAGCAGAATGCTATAAAAACTATTTCAATGCTCTAATGGCTGTGGGAATCTATATTTTAAAAATAAAAATATTTTTATATAAATTTAGCAATGTAAAAAATTCCATATCAAAAATACTATTTTTGTTCTTTATTTAGCTAAAAGGAAATTTTAAAAATTAATAAATACACACATAAATAAATAAATAAAAAATAAAAAGAATACCTTTCCACACAAAATTTAGACACTATTTACCGATACATTTGCTATTGAGAAAATACTTTATACAGTACATAGAAAAACTGGTAAATTTATGAATTAAACAAGTGAAGAAAACATACATAAAATTTAAAATTTTAATTTTATATTTGCTTTATATGAGTAGAGAATTTTATATTTGCTTTATAGAAATAATGAATATTTGTTAAATTCAAATTTCATTCCTTGAAGCAATGGCACAAGAAAATTATTAAAATTAATTTAATTTAACTATTTTCTCGTGAAACAATGTTGTTAATATATTATTACACATATCTGAATATTTAATGATAATTCAGTACTCTTCTGTTATCGGGATGGAAATCAAAAATGTATGTATACACACATACATATGCATGGTTCATATATACATACATTCAATATACATCCATATAGAGATTTCTGAATCCGGTCCCGATAACAGAAGAGTACCAATAATTCTATAATTAGTTAATATCCTTATTAATTAATTTGCATAAATAAAAACAAAAGTATTATTTAGCTTTAAATCTACATCTTTTGATAACAAACATATGCAAAATACTTGTACTTATAGTGAAAATAAAACAAAAATTGTTATTTTTCACTCTTTTTTTCTAACACAGTGCAAGTCATTCCATTCCATTATAATCAAATTTATTAAAACACAGTAACTGGATTTTTTCTATTAAAGTCAAACACCTTTATATAGAATATACATAAAGTCAACAGCTTTGTATAGAATGATATAATGCTAGACCTACTTTAACTGAAATTTTATTTATATGAATTTATGGGGAATGGGGAAATGCCAGAATAAATGCAAAAAAACCATCTGAATAAATCTTAGCCGACACTGTTATGATAGTATTTTTGTTTTCAATAAAATGTTTTTAAGGTATACCATTTTAGTTCAGTTTTCCCCCCTATTAAAGGAGCTACCCTAAGAGACATATTTTATTTACATATATCTCATTAATATGTTAAAAATATAGCTTAAGTGAGTTTTATGTGCATACTGTAAGGAAGGGGAAAGCCTTAATTCAAAACCTGTTTTAAAGCAGTAAGTAAATAAATAAAATACATTGCTTCTTTTTTTTAGCATCTCAAAAAATAGTGTTTTGGCTTCTAAAAACAAATCCTAAGCATCACATCATGATAGATAATAATCTTACATAAGAAGAAATATCTGATTAGGAATACATTCTTTATATTTATTTGATAAGATCTAAAAACGTATATGCAACATCACATTATGAAAAATCCTGCGAATCATTACAACACTGTAAGACATTAATTAGTAAGGTAAACATCAGTTGATCATTCTTTCACAGTAGCAATAAAATTTTTCATTTCAAATTCTTAAAAAATATGCCAAAACAAATTTACGATTGGTGCTTAAGATTTAAGGTTCACACAAAAGTAAATTTGATTTAGCAGAGCTTGATATCTTCCATAACATAAAAGTAACTGCTACATGATGGAAGTTTTTTGTGAACAAAATACAAACATTTTATAAATAAACTTAACCTTAATGACTAACTTCACTTCAAATTAATCCAATAATGATGGAAACAATAATGTAATTGAGTACTGCAAAATTTACTTTGTATGATATATTTCTATGTAAAATCTGAAATTTATAATAGGTGAAGGACTTTACATTATTTAAACAATGAAGCCCCACTTCTGAAAGCGAGGACTTAGACAAGACATATAGGACATTAAAACATACATTACCATATTATTATATTACTCAAAATTATTACTTTCAATAATACTGTTCTTTTGCTTACTTAATGCATATTATATTCCTATATATATGTATCTAAATTTTAAAATTAAGCAAAAAAGTTTATTTTAGTTTAATCCTGATTTTGAACAAAACCTCTGTAGACTTTGAAGGCAATCAAATACAGGTTTCTCTTTTTTAGGGGCAAATCTGAAGAAAATGAGACCTGTGTCTGATAGGCCTCAAAATCAGTAATTTTAATCAAAATCGATAATTTATATTCAAAAACTACATCAAGGTCGAGGTTGTTTCTTTGCCTCATTTTAAATATGATTATAATAATAAAATACACATTTAATTATATATATATATAACAGCAAAATTTAAACCAACAGTATTATGAATTATTATCTATTAAAAATTTCAATTTTTAATCTATTCTTAAGCACTGAAATTAAAGCTTAAATCATATATAATGCCTGAATTTCAATATTTTGATTTATTTATAAAACAAATTGGTCCATTTTTAATATGAAACATTTTTTATGAAAACTATAAAACTTAAAAAAAAAAACATACATTTTAAAAAACTGGATATCATTGAATGGTAGTTTAGTTTGGTAAACCCAATGCCTTTTACATGCTGTGTGGGGTGGGGTCAACAGTTGTGTTGGATTAGGCACATTAAACAAGGCTTTAGTTTTTTAAACCCATCTTTCCTAGAACATTCAGACTGGTTTTCTTCAAAATGCACCTTCAAATTTAACAAAAGCATGTATGAAGTTTAACATTAAAATCAAAATCACTAGTATTTAATTACAGTTGCATGTACTAAATGAATTTAATCACACTATTATGAATGAAATTTTGTTGAAAAAAATTTTAACTTTTATATGAAAATAGGACAAAATTAAGAAATAAATAATTAAGTTTATGAAGCTTCCTGAAGGACACAGAATATATTTACCTCACTATACAGAATAACCTAAACAATTTATAAATTTATGTTATACTTACCAATTTTTAAGACTGGCGCCAACATCAGAATCAAAATACAGCATAGACCTTTAATACACTATTCGTACAGTAAAATTTAAATAAAAAAACGCCTATTACAATCCCAACCGAGACAAAGTTTACATGAAATATAGAATACAATTTTACAAACAGTATAAACTATTAGCAACAGTAAAAAACAGTATTGGCGACAATACATCAGAATCAAAATACAGCATAGACCTTTAATACACTATTCGTACAGTAAAATTTAAATAAAAAAACGCCTATTACAATCCCAACCGAGACAAAGTTTACATGAAAATATAGAATACAATTTTACAAACAGTATAAAACAATAAACTATTAGCAACAGTAAAAAAACAGTATTGGCGAGATATTTGCTGCACAAATGCACACACATTCCACAATTGATTTTATATTTGTAATATCATTTCAGCGTTAATAAGTGACAGCTAAATGAAAGTACACATTTTGAAAAAAAATAATAAGGGAATTTTTCTCATATGCTATGAAAAATACGAAGCTGCACTTACTTCACAAAAACACGCTCCTGCGACCGAAATCCGTTGATCTCGAACAGAAAGAATTACTTCTTCTTCGTCTTTTTTCATTTTTTTGCTAAACAAAAACATCCTAAAGTTATTTCTAGAATGATTTGACAATTTGGTGCAGCACATCTATCCATATTTCTCAAAATCAGGTCGAAACGATCAACAAAGCAAATGCTATACTAATAGCGAGTAGCATAAAGTCAGAATAATAGAAATACTAAAATACTTTTTATGGCATTTACTTATGAAATTAGCTGCGTAAATGATTGACATCCTTCACTACATTCACCAATTTTATCTGGCTGAGCAGTTTTAATACAATTATAAACAAAGCTTTCGTCTTATCCGTACGCTACACGGCAGCCATGCTGGCTCATCAGTCGTGACGTCAGGCTGTCGATCCTTCCTCGGCTTCAATTTTGTGACGTCATACTTACTCCATCTATTCTAACCTCCTTGGCGCCACGTGTGTAAAATCCAGTTCTTAATCAGAGAAGCAAAGCGACGTCATTACTCACTGAGACTTCTCGTGAGACAACGGTACGCAACGGTAGCACGAACTGTGTTCCGAGCTCTGCGTTGATCTCTGCAATGTAATTTAAATTGTAATTTAGTACTTAATATATTCTTTTGTTATAGGAGATTGTCTACTCTTATTTTCTTTAATTATATCATGCATTAAGAACACGAAGACCAAAGCTATCTGTGTATGTAATATATAATTTTTTTCAATAGAAATAATTATTCTTTCTCCTCTGAAAAATTCGTGAAATTCTACCAAGGTAGTTGTGATAATACGTAAGTATCAAACTTTTCTTTATGCAAGATAATTCGCCAGTTATTTTAATGAAATGCTAATTTGGTGATTATTCACTTTCCCTTTTAAGGAATGTTTGTTTGTTTATCATTCAAGTCCTGTTATGAAGAAGAAATTTCGAAAGAAAGAGAAGTATGCTTCTCTTAAAAAAGAGAAGTAAAGTAGGGTGTGCCTTTTCTGTTTGAAAATGTTTAGATAGTTCTCGTATTCGGAGTTAGACTTTACATTTCCTCCACCACTCTCCGAATTTATACCATGTCACTTTCAACTTACGACTTGAACTCAGTTTCCAATCTTTTGTGGAAATTATTATTTGAAGAACTGCAGCTTAAGGGCTTTTCCGTGCATGGTTCCCATAATTTATAATTTAATTTTGGAGTAGAATAGAAAATACCCAATTTTTTTATTTTTCAAAGTTACATTTTAGCTCGATTTTTCGCCCATCGGTGCAAAAAGACGTAGCAGATGCAAAACAATTCATCTCTGTACTTTCCCTGTCTGCTTTACTAAAATCGTAAACTCTGCCAGAGTTTCGTAACTGCTTAATTCACCATGTATTTGTAACCAAGCAAGAAGTCATAGTTCTGTAGAACATAGTTAAATTTTTATTGAAGTGATCCTAGAAATAAATTCATGCTTATATTCTCTGGACAAGTCTTCTGCATAATATGTTTTGAGAGTATCTGAACTGTGTATGTGTAGGACACAGAAAACTAAAGTAAGGTATCCAAGAACTTTGGTCATATTTTCGTTGAAGAGTGCATTTTATATTCATGCAGAGCATGGACATCATTCTGAGTTATATTGCAGGGTATATCATATCAAGGCTGTCGTTTATCGATATAATGTTTAACTTTCTAGTTCTAGGAGTTATGTAACAAATTATTTGGAGAAAGTAATATTTTAAGAGACCATCCATACACATACAAGAGAAAAACATCAGTGTAAGGTTTCTAACTAATTATTGAAACAAAAGAGTGATTTAATGATGCCTAAGCTTATTCATACAGGAGAAAAACGTCATGTGTGTGAAGTATGTAAAAAGTCATTTAGTCGAAAGAATTATTTAAGCAATCACATGCTTATTCACATAGGGGAGAAACATCATGAGTGTGAAGTATGCAAAAAATCATTTAGTCAAAAGAGTCAATTAAACAAACATATGCATATCCACACAGGAGAGAAACCTCACGTGTGTGATGTATGTAAAACGTCATATAGTCAAAAACATAGATTAAACTATCATATGCTTATTCATACAGGACAGAAACCTCATGTGTGTAAAGTATGTAAAAAAGCGTTTACATATAAGTGTAATTTAAATACACATATACGTATTCACAATGAAGACAAACCTCATGTGTGTGAAGTATGTAAGAAGTCATTTCATCGAATGAATAGTTTAAGCATTCATATACGTGTTCACACAAAAGAAAAACCTCATGTCTGTGAGGTATGTAAGAAGTTATTTAGACACAGGAGTACTTTGAGTTCCCATATGCTCCTTCATACTGGAGAGAAACCTTATGTGTGTGAAATTTGTATGAAATCATTTCATCAGCAAAATAGTTTGAACTCTCATATGCATCTTCACACAGGAAAGAAACCTTATGTATGTGAAGTTTGTATGGAATCATTTAGTCAGAAAAGAAGTTTGAACTCCCATATGCTTCTTCACACAAAAGAGAAATCTAATGTATGTGAAGTTTGTAAGAAGTCATTTAGTACAAGGGTAGTTTGAATTCCCATATGCTTCTTCACACAGGAGAGAAATCTCATGTATGTGAAGTTTGTATGAAATCATTTAATCGGAAAAGAAGTTTAAACTCTCACATGCTTCTTCACACAGAAGGGAAATCTCATGTTTGTGAAGTATGTAAGAGATCATTTTGGCATGAGCGTGCTTTGAACAACCATATGCTTGTTCACAGCTGGATTGCTATGAAGTTTCCACCGGAAAAAAAACCTGTTTGTAACTAGAGTTACTGATTTTGTGGCAGTTTTGGGGTAAATATGTAGCTGAAACAAAAGCTCTGTGTGTATGTAATATATAATTTTTTTCAATAGAAATAATTATTCTTTTTCTTCTATAAAATTTGTGAAACTCTGCCAAGATAGTTTTGATAATGCATAAGTATCAAAATTTTATTTCTGCAAGATAAATCTCCACTCATTTTAATGAAATACTAATTTGGTGATTCTTCACTTCCCTTTTAAAGGAATGTTTGTTTATCATTTAAGTCCTCAGAACAGCTTTAGTATTGGTCCTTTCGGCGACAAACTTTTGTCGCCAAGGTAGACCTGGCTTTGAGATCAGAAAAAAATGGCGGATTGTAAACAAAACCCGATCTACACTAAATAACAATCCTAAAAAAAAGCTCTTGATTAGAATCAAGGCCAACTTATATACTCAAGGCCTGCCAGTGGGAAAATATTATTTTGTGTTTTCGGTTGCCTGCGTTATTTTCCTACTGACCGCAAGATGGCGCTACAATTCTGCTACACTTTGCGATGTTTAAAAAAATCTGAAAAGTACCAGAAACGAATTCTGTCTTGTTATATGCAAAGTTTAAAAATGATTAATTCATAGTAGTCAGAAATTGTTGATTTCTTATTAGTAAAAACATTTTAATTAGAAGGAAAGCATGGAATTTAAGCTATCTCACCTTTTTTTTTTCACACATAACACTAGCATTTGATCTCGATTTTAATTCCTGCTTCTATTACATGCGCTATCTGAATTGTATGCATTACAACTATTTATCTAATTTAAAGGTAATTCAGAGTATACACCTTATTTTAATTATTTATATTTGTAAGAATTAACAGATAGCTTCAGACAGTACTATTCAGTGAAAAATTTCAAAATATTTCTATCGGCTGTACTGGGCCAAAAAAAAAAATAATTAGTATCCCCTTCAAAGTTAATTAACATATTAATACACTGTGATCTAAATTTGTATATTCTTACAAGATTAAGTAAAAATATTACTTAAAGAGATTAAATTTTACTACTGAAGAATTCTTTTAAATTATTAAATAACTGTTTTTTAGGAAATCTTAAACAATAAATTTAAATAATGCAGATTTTGATCTCTGTGCAGTATTTGCATTGCAGATTCAAAGACATCTAAATTATTAGGGGGAAAAAAAAGAAACGTCGTACGTGGTAGTTTTGAATGAAACTCAACTAGAGAACTTCAATTTTCAAATGAAAATAATGAAATTTTGATAAAGCTATTGATCAAATCATCTTGTTATAAATAAAAGAGAACAGGCATCTAAAATATTTTTTAACGGCACCAACAAATAATAACTCTAATCACAATATATACTTAAGAAAACGTTCATTTCTGATATCAGGATAAAAGGTTGATCTTTACATTATGGTAACTTGGCGATTTTTGGCAAAAATTTGCGACCAACTCTCCTACAGCAACCCTCTATTTTTTTTCCCCCGCCGCCATTTGTCTTCACGAGTAAAGACATGTTTCTTTCTTTTTATATGAACACTTCTTCCAACAATCTACTAGCCGAATTACACTTATGCTAGAAATTTTATCTAACAAAACTGCTTAATCAGAAAATATTCACTGCAAATTAGGAAAAACTGCACAATACCATCCTCCTTATGCATTTTTCAAAATAACACATACACATAAACCATGTACACGCCGACTTATTTTACTTAAAAAAACATCCCAGAATTGCACAAAAATGGCATTGCGCACACTCTTCACTATATCCATGTACACTGCTTTTTTCTCATAAATTAAAAAAATTTCACGAAAATACATGACAATTTTCTCAATCTTTAAACCGGTAAAAAGAACATATATGAAATTACATGATCGCGAAAAATATTTACCCTTTACAAGTATCAACATTTTCACATATAAAATAAATAGAATATCCAAAAAATTTTTACCTTAAATCATCTATTACATTATACACGTCACCAACGAATTCATACCTCAAGCATTACAAATACTTAATATCAAATATTTAAATTATTTCCATGCACGTTTATTTCAACTTAAACGTATACCAAATTCCTAAAAACAAAATTCACAAAATAACTATCATTTCATTAAAATATAATTAAATTCAAAAAACACTACTTAAAATATAAATGAGCACATACATTAATTTAATAAAAATTACCTTACAATCCTAATTACTTTAAACTAAATCATTGCTAATAACAATTTTCCCAATAATACCAAATTCCTTTCCACCTTACATTTACAACAATGCATAAAAATAATATTCTCAAATAATTAAAAAAACTAACTTACCTAATCTTCTTCAGAATCTTGATTACGTGGCGGATACACTTTCTTCCTTCTGTTTCAGAATCTTTAAAATCATACTTATCTTTTCAAAGCAAGATACCAGGTAAAATAAATAACATAATAAAACATCTTTATTCTCTCTTGCACAACCTTAAAAAACATTTTTTACTATCCTTTTCAATACCACTAAATACCCATTTCGAATTCACTTTAGTTACGGCCATGGGATCCAAAAAATTCACAAACATTATTTCACACAACACAGAATAAAGCCAAATACAAAATTGCCAGATTTTTTCCCGATTAAAGAACAGTAATTCGTCCATTAATATCACATGACATATCCCATGATCTCTCATTCCCTCATACAAAATAACGCGTAATCAGAACTGAATACTACTCACATTCTTAACAAAGTCTAACTAACCTAATCTTCTTCCGAATCTTCCTTACATGGTGGATACACTTTATTATGGATTCAATAAATTACTGAAAGATTTTTTTTTCCGAATTTGATTGAATTTGATAAAAAAATTCTTTATCACATCTACAATTCACTTTAGACAGCGCCATACAATCCCAAAAATTATTCAACCCTACTTCACACAACACACAATGAAGCGTAATACAAAATAATATACATCCACAGATACTTGTCCAAATTCCCCCCCTTTTCCGTTAAAGAACCGTAATTCGTCCATTAATATCACATGAATATCCCATGATCTCTCATTCCCCCACCCAAATAATGCGTAATCGGAACTGAGTAACTGCTCACATTATTACCAAAGTCCCAGGTATAGTACCTTTATCCCTCCAAAATGTCGCCAAACTACCAATTACTATATTGTAAAGATCAACGGATAAAATGTGAAAACTTGCAATGGCTGAATATAAATAATATATCCATCACCCATACCCACAACATTCTAAGTAGAGTGAGGTATATACACAATTTTAGATGTATATGCATAAATAAAGTTAGGCAAAAAAGCAAGCTTATTAAATGTACATCACTTAAATATACAGCAGGTAGACATTTTTATACACATACAACATTAATCAGAAGAATGTTACAAAAGTTTTATGGCTGGTAGTGTGAGATACTGATATAGTTCATTATCAAGAATAACATTTACATGAAATAAAATTACCGAATTTCACAAAACAATATTATCACTATTAAGCACACATATATGAGTGCCATCTTGATACATTACCTACATGCAACTACCTGATATAAATCCATCTGTACCATTCCCATTCCAGATTAATCAGAAGAAAGTTCCACACACAAATTTTGGAAAATGACAGCATTGGATGCACAAGCATTTCAGAATTAAATAAGCAAAATGATAATTTCAGAACTGAGTACAATGAGGTATATACACAATTTTAAACCTATGTGCATAAAGTTACGCAGAAAAAAAAAAAAAAAAAAAAAAAAAGCAAGCTTATTAAGTATAGCCCTTAAATATGCAGCAGCTAGATATTTTTACACACATACATTTTTTGGTTAATCACGAATGACATGTGTACAAATAGTGAGCATATAGCAAAAGTGTAGCAGAATGCGAGCGCCACCTAGTGATGAATTTCGCCGAAAGCCACTGAAAACTGGGAACCGGAATTTTGTTCACTCTGGCAGGCCTTGAGTATAAGTTGGCCTTGTTAGAATAAACAGTCTTTCTCTAATTCTCAACATTTCTAGTTCTTGCTATGATAAATTCTTGAAACACTACCTTAAATGAATTTTATGGCAGTGATTATGTTATGAGTAATGAAATTTACAAAAGGTTCATATTTTAAATTACAAATATAATATTAACCTTTTGAGGCCGGGGCTTTGTTAGCAGTAAAAGCTACCAAAGGACGGGAATCTTGAACCGAATGCTTTCTCCTTCAAGAAATTACCTCCTATTTGCAACAAAGATTCTTGTGTGTAGTCTAATGGATTCTCAGAGGGGTGCATCTATGTCGCAAAAGGAAGATCTTTAAAAGAAATAAGTGGTTAAAAGCCCAGGGATGTCAGATTTGACATTTCATTCCACTTTTCAGCCTGAAAAATGGGAGAAAAAGACATGGCCACTAAAGTGGACAAACCCGTCTTTTTCAAAGAGAGGACTCTATGGCCACTATAATGGCCATCCCGTCTTCAAAAGGTTAAATATTAATATTTTAAGTAGTTAGTTAATATTTATATTATATTAGTATTTGGCTAATATTTTAAATTTGCAAAAGGTTAATAAGTGCATTTCAAATTAGTATATGTTACTTTAGTTTCTTAGATTCTGTTATTAAAAGGAAATAAAAAAATATTTCAAATTGAAGGAAATTAAATTATAATGAGTAAATCTTGTACCAGTGTTAGAAATACTTTTTATGAATTAAATTTTGCAAATGGTATTTTTGTAATGTAAATGTATTTTTTAATCACTCAATTTATTACGAGTAATTTATGATTATAATTTAAAAGCTAAAATTAAATTATCATAATGTGTAAATTTTTTACCAATAGTAATACAGTCAAAAGTCGTTAATCCGGACCTCAAAGCTACAAACTTTCTGCGCATGTCTCAACGCATAATGCGTTCACGCATGCACATAGGCATTTACGCATGGCGTGTAACACTTTTACGCATGTGCACACGCAATATAACGGCGTATAAGCTAAGCTAAAATTATCTAATTATTTATTTCAGTTAAAGTTGCAGATTGCGTTGTTCCTTAATCTTCGAATTAGATCCGGCTTATTATTTTTTGCAGACTGTTAGAGCAATTTTATAAAGTAAGCTTGAACTTTCAATTATGTCAGATAGAATTTCCGATGCTGGAGCTGCCAAAGCGAAAGTAGGTTTCGATGTCCATCAAACAAAAAGTGAAATTGCTGCAAAAAAATGGATAAAGGCATATCCTTGTTTCTCTAACCATTCCGAAATCTGTTTATCAATTTCACGCTGCTCTGCGGGGGGGGGGGAAGACGTCGCGGCACGCAATTAACTGGAAGTTGATCTGTCAGCACTATCCTTATCTTCAGGGCAGATGTTTTTATTTTATTCAGCTTATAATTCCTTACTAAATGTAGTATTTCATCTCGATGTATTCCATCTTTGATATGATTTAAATCAAATTTTTTGTCATTATAAATATCACGAGTACACATCAAATAGTTTTCTGGTTGCAATTTTCTGATTTTGACTATGCCTAATCTATGCTTTGCGCATGCGCACATTGAAAGAAATGTTTAATATAGTAAACAAATAAATATTAAGCTTTTTTCTGTAAATTTTTGATATCCTTTAGAT